CACCGGCTCAAGGTTGACTCAGCCTTCCATCTTTCCGAGGTGGGTGAAATGAGGACCCAGACTGTGGGGGCGATATGACTCTGTAAACCGCTTAGAGAGGGCTGAAAGCCCTATGAAGCGGTATATGTCTAACTGCTATTGCTATTGCTATCTCTTTGAGCCACTTCCTTATCTGACGCCAATATTTTCTAACCTTGGGGCAGGTGGTCCAGTCTCTTCTTAAAAGCCTCACCATCCATGGAAGAGGACTTTCTTGTCTATAACTCCCAGAAGTTTCATTTCTCATTAGTTTTGTACTGATCTGGGCTTTTATGATCATATTTTTCAGAGTTTCCCATGATTCTTGAGTTGTTTTCCCAAGAATCTTTCCCAAGTTCTCGCTGCGTTTATTAAAATCAGCTCTTTCAAAATCTAAGACTCTGGTGTCATTATGCTCTGTTGCTTGTGTTTGTATTATGTTGAATTCTAGTTTGACATGGTGACTCTCACCCAAGGTTCCTGCAGTTTCAACTCCCTCTATCACTTCTTCTCTGTTTGTAAGAATTCAATCCTGTATGGCTGTCCCCCTAGGCTGAGGACCCCAGGTTGAAGAAATCTGGATTGGGGTGGGAGGAAGTGGCCAGCTCTACTTCCGTAAGATCTGCAAAGCGAAGATGCCAAAGGGGAACACGGAAATGAAGGCAACAGATTCAAAATAAATTGCTTGATTTAAATCATCGGGGGTGGGGGGAGAAAAATCTTATCTTTGTGTTTCCCTCGGAGTGGAAAACAACATCATCCACTGGGTGCTAAAACCATCCACATTTCTGCAAATCCTTACGGAATCTGCAAATCTGATTACATTTCTGCGATGATTTCTGCCAAACATATTTTTTCTCACTATGCTTCCGCCCTCAGAAAGCGTCCAAAATTCCTTGCTTTCTGCTGTATATCCCCTGTCCCGTTTCGATCACTTGATTCAGCAGCTGGGTTTGCTGATTTTCTTTTTCTCCTTTTGCAAACACATCATAAGACCTTTTTTTCTTTTAAGAAAAAAGAATGTTGCATTTGTTATGAAGTTGAATTCCTTGTGATGTTATGGTTGGCACTTGGCACCAGGCCTTTAAAAAATTGTAATGTATGATTTTTCTTGTAATATATATATATATTTTCAAAGCAGATTTTGTATGGTTTTTTCCCCCCTCTATAACATCTTGCAATCATCACATTAACATTGTTATGTCATTATACCTGTATATATCAATCTTATATAGCTTCTATATTTATATACATTCATCTACAGTTCTATACATTTCTCTGTTGTTTCTTGGCTGAATTAACTTTATTCCTGTTATGCAACCATTTATACCAGTTATCCCAAATTTCATAATATTCAGACTCTTCTTTGTCCTTTAATCTTAATGTTAATTTGTCCATTTCTGCACCTACAATTTTATGAATCACTAATTCATCTGGAGTAATATTTCTTTGTTTCCAACATTGGGCAAACATTATTCTAGCTGTAGTCAACAGGTATTAGTATGTATTTAATTTTCTTTCTATATTTAATTTTCTTTCTATATTTGGTTATTCCCAGCAGAAAGGGTTCCAGTTTGTATTCTGTTTGTTCCTCTGTAATTTGTTGTCTCCATTTCCAAATTTTCATCCAATATTTTTGCGTTTCCGAACAAATATATTTTCAACTCCTGGAGGGAAGCCCTTCCACTGGTTGATTGTTCTCACTGTCAGGAAATTCCTCCTTAGTTCTAAGTTGCTTCTCTCCTTGGTTCATTTCCACTCATTGCTTCCTGTTCTACCCTCAGGTGCTTTAGATCAGTGTTTTTCAACCTTGGCAACTTGAAGATGTCTGGACTTCAAGTCCCAGAATTCCCCAGCCAGCGAATGCTGGCTGGGGAATTCTGGGAGTTGAAGTCCAGACATCTTCAAGTTGCCAAGGTTGAAAAACACTGCTTTAGATAATAGGTTGACCCCCTCCTCATTGTGGCAGCCCCTCAAATATTGGAACCCTGCTATCATGCCTCCTCCCAATCCTTCTTTTCATTAAACAGGCCAAGAAAGAAGGAGGAGGTTGATTAGAGCGTGCATTCAGAAGCATCCATTCTCTTCTAGGCGACTCGCTAGAGTGGGGGGAACTTCATCTTAACGGTGGAATCAATGCAGTCATTCTGCCGGGACAAATGTGATGAGAGGGAAGGGGAGGGGGTTTCGACTGCCACTTTTGTGTTTGTGTGGTAAATGGCACTGCCTGAAGCAACATCTGTGCATCTCCAGCTGCACAGAGAGACGAGCGGGGCGGGGGGGGGGGGGGGAGGGACTTCCTGGAACCACACTTAACTCCTCTCGGCCCGTTTCAAATATAGAAGCTTCCACTCTCTGAATATTCATGACTTAGCTTTTAAGGCGTTTAATTCAAGATTAGCCTCACTTAATACCTTCCAGAGCTTTTAACACGCTCGGAGGTAGAAATCCGTTGGGATGACTATTCGTCCGCCGTGTGCGAAGAGGGCCTTGACATCTAACCGGTTGTGGGCTGTCCGCAACGTGTCCGCAGGTGGCTGGTAAGGCCTCTGCGGGCACAAAATGTTCTGCCACATGTCGGGGAAGACATGAGTGGGCACCACTGTTGTAGCATTTGCAGCTCTGGCTTGGCGGAGTGCTCGCTTCCCTCGTGCCACGGTGGTCCTTCTGCCCTCAGATGTCTGGCAGGCTTGGTGGATCGGCGTGTCGATCGGTCTTGTGCCAGGATTTCCCACGAGGTGGGGCCGATCGCCAGGGACTTGAAGGAGGCTTCCAACGTGCCTCTGTATCGCTTCCTTCGTTCCCCCGTGCGATGCCTTCCCTTGAGATAGAGGAGCTGAAACGGTAGAGGGTTTCCTGCCTAGGCACGGGGTTGGGCTAGAAGATCTCCAAGGTCCCTTCCAACTCTGCTATTGTATTATTGTATTGCATTGTTTGGAGATGTGATGATCTGGCACCGCGATGGTGAACCTATGCCACAGGTGGGACATGGAGCCTTCTTTGCGGGCACGCGAGATGTCACCCACCTCAGCTCCATTGCGCATGTGTATGCACCTCCCTCCGGGGTCTCTGATTTTCAGGATATGCACGCATGTGCATGCATGGAGGGAGCATGGGGGGGTGCGGCACTCCCCTGCACCCCATTTTTTTGGTTTCAGGAGGCTTCAGGGAAGCCTTTGTAGATTTTGAGCTTTGTCGCATGGCTTATTCCACACGTTGGTCAGCCCCCTGCCAAATGCAGAGCATTTCATTGAATACCTTCCGGAGCTTTTCACAGGTAGAATTCCAGTTGGGAATAATAAACCCTGGAGGCCCAAGGAGTGATGACGAGCAGGATCAAAGGAAAAGGTGGACTTGATCAAAGTGACATCTCTTTTTTCCTTTCTTCTCTTTCTCAATCTTTTCCCCTCTCTCTCTGTGTGTGCAGGTGACACTTCCCAGATTGAGAGAGTCTCCGGAAGACCAGTAACGCTCCCTTGAGAATTGCAAGTTCTCCACCAAGAGAAAATCCGAAGCATCAACCTTCTTATCGGCAGCCTATGGATAAACCATGCAACTTTGCACCTCATCTAAACCCGTTTTTCTGCGCTGTTATTTATTCCTTCGCTCTCCTTTGGAGGGAAGCACTGAATGACGGCTCCGTGTGACCCGCTTTCTTGGCAGAAAACTCGGGGCGAAAAGGCCCAAATGACTTACCTTTCTTTTTCTGCACTGAGGAAATTATTCCACGCCCATTCACGCCATTAACTACCCTTCTTGGGAATGCAGGGATGGCCAGAAGAGGAAGCCCTACCAAGGAGAAGGAGTCAGAAAAAGTTGAGGGGAGAAGAGAGGGAGATTTCCAGTTAGGAGAAAACAGCCTGGTTGGGAATTTGGATTGCTGGACTTTGTCTTCTTCCCAGGAGATGCTGGAGGACGAAGAACTTTTGAGGGAGCTGAAGGACTATCAACACCTTTTGGAAGAAGGCCAGCAAGGTTTTGATCTCGGCGAACTTCAAGAGCTTGAAGGTGCAGGAGATACCAATGCTGCACATCCCCTGCCTGGTGAGTAACACAGGAAATTAGGGACCCAAATCTCAGGTGAGGTTATTTGGAGTTATATCTGAACTGGAGTAGAGTTTTTGCACATTCAGAGAAGATAACGGATCAATGGTTCAAAGCAGATGTTCTGGATAGCCAACTTGTCATTGTCCCAAAGGGACTATTCAATTTTTTTTACTACCTGTTCTGTGGGCGTGGCAGGGGAAGGATACTGTAAAATCCCCATTCCCTCCCCACTCCAGGGGAAGGATACTGCAAAATCCCCATTCCCCCCCCCCCACTCCAAAGAATTGAATAGAATTCTTTATTGGCCAAGTGTGATTGGACACACGAGGAAATTGTCTTTGGTGCATAAGCTCTCAGTGTACATAAAGAAAAATAAAATAGAATACATTCGTCAAGAATCTTAAGATACAACATTTAGTGATAGTCATAGGTTAATAATAAGCAATCAAATTATACTAGGAAACAAATAAAACAATATAAATTTTAAAGGCACAAGCAACATGGTTATAATCCTAAAAGGGAAGAGATAGGGATTAGGAAGGAAGAGAAGAAGAATAGTAATGCAGACTTAGTGAAAATTTTGACAGTGTTGAGGGAATTATTTTTTTAGCAGAGTGATGGCGTTCGGGGAAAAAACTGTTCTTGTGTCTAGTTGTTCTGGTGTGCAGTGCTCTTTAGCATCGTTTTGAGGGTAGGAGTTGAAACAATTGATGTCCAGGGTGCGAGGGGTCTGTAGATATTTTCACAGCCCTCTTTTTGACTCCTGCAGTGTGCAGGTCCTCAATGGAAGGCAGGTTGGTAGCCATTGTTTTTCCTGCAGATCTAATTATCCTCTGAAGTCTGTCTCTGTCTTGTTGGGTTGCAGAAGCAAACCAGATAGTTTTAGAGGTGCAGATGAGAGACTCAATAAGTATCAACTTTTGATACATCTTTCATTTGGGGTTATTCACTTTGAACAAAGTGTAATGTTTTGAGTTGTGTGTCAGCAATCCAAATAGAGCCTGAAATTAAATCAGAGTCCAAGGCAAAGCATTGCTCAAAGTTCCAATTTATTAAGAAAGCCATGTTGGCACATCTGGGAAAACCCGAATCTGAAAGCTTCCTGGGGTTCCCACTCAGTTGAAAGTTCATGATCTTGCCCCCACACCCACAAGTCCATCACATGGTCCAATCTTCCACTGCCACACTGGCAATTCCACTCATCCAGTTCCGGTCAGGTGCAGAGGTGCAGAGACAAAGGATGACCTTGGCTTTCTAGAAAGAATGTTGTTATGGCTACATATCATCTAACTCTGTACAAAGCCCCTCCCATTTTCCCACCATAGAAAATGCATAGTAGAATAATAGAAAGTGTGGCAGGCCAAAGATCCTAAAAGGAATATGACTGCGGGCTTGACATTGTGTTGGCTGCCCTGAACTATAAGGTTAAAAAGATGGGTTGGAATGGATTGACAATTAGGACAAGGTAAGATCGATTTTCTAATAATATGTCCTTTCCCAGGTTTAGAGGAGAAAGGAAGTCCCAAGGATCTTGGCATGAGGTCTTACTTGCAGCTAGATAGAAGGCATAAAGAAGACAACTCTGAACCTGAGAAATCCAGAGGGACATGGGACTTTGGAAGCCAGGAGGATGTCCATCCTGAACTTTCTTTTGAGGGCCAGTATGGTTCAGACTTCAGTCCCAGTCCTGAGATCCTTCAAGACCCCCTCGCTTTGTATAAATGCAGCTTTGCCTCCAATAATGGGGACGATGGGCTCTCTGAAAACTCCAATCTCAGCCCTTCTCCCTGTGGTCCTCCTCCCATGTGCACCCAACTGGAAATTGAACCTCAAATTCTGGGTGAGGATGGCTTGGACTTCCCTGAAGATCCCAAGTTCTCCTGGGAGTCAGGAAGAAACCTGGGAAGTCACGGGGGCAGTTCTCTGGCAAGTTCCTTGCCGTACAATGAGCGACTCTTGGATTTCCAATCGCTAGAAGACCTTCAGAATTATCCAGGCATTGATGCCGAGACTTGTCCAGAGTTATCCTGGATGGAGAACTTGGGACAACCTCTTGAGAAAGAACCTCCAGAGGAGGTCGCTCCAACTATCCACCAGCCCGCTTTCAACCATACCGAGGAAGGAACTCTGGATTCGAGAGGGACAACGCAGATGTCCCACACCTCCAAACCAGTTGGTAGCCAACTGGAGAAGCGAATGTGCAAGTTGAAAGCAGACGTACCCCATGGGCTGTGGTCGAAAAGTCCAAGGCAGTCCAGATCTTTGAGCCCTCAACGAAGGACCAGCCAGAAAAAATCTGGACATCTTGCTTTGAAAGAACCGGACCGAGAGATTCGGTCAAACTCTGGGACGAGAGAAGTCACACAGTACGGCCGAGGGAGACTCAACTACCCATTACCAGATCTATCCAAAGTGGAACCCCGAGTCAAGTTCCCTCAAAGCTACCAGCCACCTCAAGGAAAGTCCTCTCCAGCTTTCCGGAAAGAGGGTAGGAAGCCAGTCATCTTCAAGTCCCCTGCCGAGATTGTCCGAGAGGTACTGATGAGCAGCGGGGAAGGATCTCCCCATAAGTGTCCCACGCCCACCATCTCTGTTATTCCGGAGGAGCTGAAATCCCCCAGACAGGCTACGGAGCTCGTGCATCAGCTTCAGGTAACGTCTCCTGGACACATCCCAAAAATTCTCTTCCCGAACAAATTCCCGACTTGCGACTACAACCGAGCCCCCCCCCCCAATGAATGTCATTAAGTGAAGAATCGCTGAAGTGGGTTTTGCCCCAGTTTTACAACTTGTCTTAGCCCCTTTTGAGAAGCGAGTCACACTCTGCAGCTGGGAAGTGAGTCACACAGTTGTTCATTGAACCTGCCATTTGACCATTAGAAGAATTAGAATAGATCATGAGAATAACAAGAGTTAGAAGGTGTATCAGTTGGTTACAAAAAGCTTTTGTGCCTCTCTTCCACTGTCGTCACAAAATTTGTATTAACTCAAGTATTTTGAATCAGATATTTTTATACATATTACCATCATACCACCTTCATGTTCAATTGTTTAAACGTCCTTCATCATAAAATGTACCAAGATTTAAAACCTGACCCCATACTGGCATTTCATTTGTTATTTCTAATATCCTCCAATAACACTATATCCTTATGGCCTATTCTGACTAAACGTCAATAATATTTAGTAACAAAAATTTCAAATCCTCCTTTCCAAATGACTGTTTACAATTTACATCCAATTTCCTTATGTTGTACCCATGCATATGCATATATATATATATATATATATATATATATATATATATATATATATATATG